AGCTTGCTTATCAGTGCTTTCGCAGCAAGGTTCGTCTTTAGAATTGCACTCGAGTGTCACGTTAAGACAAGCTAGACGAAGAAACAGGTCACTGCCAGGTTTATGGTTGACAAAAAGTTTGGTCAAGAATTTGCCTTAACCCTTTGCAGAGATGGGAGCCTCTCGTATGCGGGTTCGAAAATGAGGGCCCTTGATAAACATCCTTCTTACCACAGGAAAATTTGCAACATAATTATATACTCTGCAAAGCCTCCATGTCCTCTCTAGAACTATGTCAGAGTCTCTGCAGAGCCGTAGACGCAGTTGGGATCCACGACCAAATCACAATTCTTACCCACCGACCGGTCGTAAACTAGAAACCAAGAACCAGAGCAGATTCCCCTACAAATGGCTGCCATGTTCGACACAAGTCCTCTTGGCTGGGTCATTGAAAGAGAAAGCAGAACATACCACTGGTGTGGCCTCATTGTGGTTAAAGCGCAGCAACCTTTCTGAATGGGCGAACACAAGACTTCAACAATACGTCTATTGTAGCGTGTGCACGATGCATATCTTTGGTGGGGTACTGTCAGGGAAGACAGATTGCTGGAAGAAGAAAAAGCAATTGCCCTTAAATAGTGACAACATTATGAAGGACAGCAGAGCGTGTCAAACATGCATCGGTTTGTGTGGGCCAGCAGTCTGACAAGCCTGGAGGAAAGAAACAAGCAAGAATGCAGGGCATAATCACCTGGTTTGTTCCTCCTAGGGGAAATAAAGACTTGACTTGAGCAGAATGTGCCACAAAAGGCCTGTCTTAGCTTCATATTAAAATAGAAATATTTTATGATAAAATATACCAATGTTCAATGAATAGTTCATTAGTCCACATAACCGATGAACCAGTATTAAAATTCTGGCCAGTAATAAAATTCTATATTAATTTGTCTAAGTTAACATTAGAACACAAACTATAAGTTAAGTTACATTTAAATTATTAAATTATTAGTGTTTCTATAGATTAATTTATAGATTAAGATGCTTTTTGCCACCAATAAGAATGTTCCGAAGTAAGATTTGTTAATGCTTTTGAAAGAAGTCTCTTAAGCTCACCAAGTCTGCATTTATGTATAGTACAATAGAAATATTTTGAAAAATTATTAGAATTTTTAAAAACTAGTTTTCTATTTTAAATATATTTTCATGATCATAACTAGAATCTTCAGTGTCACATGATCCTTCAGAAATTATTTTAATATGCTGATTTGCTGCTCAAGAAACATTTGTTATTAGTAGTAAACACCACGTTTACATGGACACTTTGTTTCAATATGTCACAAGCTTAAAAATTGCTTTAAAAAGCAGACTTAATATTTATCTATCTCGGGTCCTAATTAGGAGACGACAAGCACATGGAGCTTTGTGCAATGATGTTTCTATTAATCAAGCAGTAAAAACGCCCATCCCCTCATCCAAAATAAGACATCTTCAGATGAGAGTCCAAAACAAGCACTTGTGGGAAAACGCTGACTAGCACCACTTCACAGACGAACGAACACAGAATTTTAGATTGACAAGTCACCACAGTCATTTATTATATTCAACAACAACAATAACGTCAGCTCCTTCCGTGCGTCATGCGTCATTATGTCATTTCTACATCATTGCACGTGCGCAAATCTTTTCAGTTTCGTTTTTCAATCCGATCAGGTGTTAGAAAAGGTTTATCCCACCCCTCTCAACCCGATTGAACTTGCATTCAGTTTGAGCATTTTTATTCCGACTGAGGTATTTATGTGGAGCGTTTTCATTCGGACTAGACTTTTAAACTGATTGTATTCGGAATACAATGCTCCATGTAAACGCACCTGTTGTTGAAAACAGTTGTGCTGCTTAAAGGTGCTGTAAGTTTTTGACTCTACTAAAGCATAAAAATACCATAATACGTATGTTTGCAGATATTTAAGAACATTTAAAAAAAAAAAAATTTAATTTTAAAATTTTTTTGTGGGAAAACTGATACTTTTTTTCAGGATTCTTTGATGAATAGAAAGTTCAAAAGAACAGAACTGATTTGAAATAAAATTGTTTGTAACAGTATGAATGTCTTTACTGTCATTTTTATTTTTCTTGTCAAATAAAAGTTTTTTTTTTTTTCAAAAAATAAATAAATCCTACTGGCCCCAAACTTTTGAAAGGTAGTATAAGTGCCTGTTTAGCATATTTAACCAAGTCTAAAACCTGTTCTGTAGAATTTCACAGATTTTTCACAAATCCCATGGGCCTAGTCACTACTATCCATCTTATAATGTCCTTTAAGAAAAAAAAAAGGCCCCTCGGGCATTTTTTAAGTAGGATAATCTTCAGTCAGGAATGTTTTTAGTCAACCCTGTTCTTTTTTTAATGTCAGGAAACGAGGGTTAGCCGAGAACAAATTCTACATGTGTTTTCTGGATGAATATTTTGTGCCAGCAAAAACCATGGATTTGACCTCTAAGTATGTGCACAGTCCCTGGGCCAGACATCCCTATAGGCATCAGAAATGCAAATGAAAGACAAACAATTTTTTTACTTAAAACTGGAAACTTTTCATAGGTTTTGGCTGTTAATTTACACAACAACAGCATTTCGGGAGCCTGAAAATACAAACTTTTGAAAATGGGTTGAAAAACTTTTTGAAAACAATACAGTTATAGTCAAGCATGTAAACTATGAAAATGTTCATTTGTGAAAACACTGACATCATGCACATGTGTATCACGTGTTCAGTCTAGAATGCGTCTCTTTACAAAGTGAGAAATAACATGGAGGTCAGATTTTTTTTTTTATATACAGATATCTGTTACACTGAATGAAGATGGACCATTATTTCACCCATATTTTGACATTTTACTTTCAAAAAAGCTATTTGAAACCTTAAAGTAGACACTTGCATTACTTGCATTTAATATGCTTATATATATATATATATTTCTTTAAATAATTAGTTTGGGCTATACTGGTTGGCTGAACATGAGGGAGCGCTTTAGAAATGAATTAGTGTGAGTTTAAGACATCCAGAAACCTCATTGTCTCTCTGATGCTGCTTCTATTCAACAGGCAAGCCATGTAATCCTGGGAATTAGGCTGAGATGAACCACAAAAAAGATGGATCACTGGGACCAGAACTACTGGCCAATCCTGAAACATCTGGACACAAACTATGCCTCAAGTCTACAAACATACATTTTTGTAGAACTAAACAAAGAAAAGCTTAGAGCATCTAAACCTGTATTTATTAAACCAATATGGACTCCAGTTGACTCTAATGGTAACCAATAGAATTAGTTTGGGGCTGTACTATCTGTTTGGCCAACCAAGGGATTATGGGGGGAGTGTTCCGAAAACTATTTTGAAAACATTTATTATTTTTGCGTTTCAGTTTAATTATGCTAATGGCACAGATAACACAAAATTTAAATGTCTAGATATACCTGAAGGTTTAAGGCTACTGTTTTCTAGACAAAATGTGTAATCACAAAATGCATATCAGTGTACAATTAAAAAAAACAACTCTAAATTGGCAGACATAAGAGCATTTCTTCTAGGAATTTATGTTGTTATTGTAAACTAAAATGAAAACTATTAAAAATATGTTTTTGAGTTAACTGAAATAAAGCTAAAAATATATATATATTAATATAAATATTAGTATATTATAAATATTAATATATAAATATTAGACAGAAGGTTTAAAAGAAAATGAAAACTATTAAAAATATGTTTTTGAGTTAACTGAAATAAAGCTAAAAATATATATATATTAATATAAATATTAGTATATTATAAATATGAATATATAAATATTAAAATATAAATATTAGACATGGATTTTGTAAGAAAATGAAATTTAAAAAAGTTTGTTGAAGTATTAAAATGACAAAAATTAAAATGGAAATAAAAATGAATTAAATTAAAGCGAAATGAAAATATTTGAAAAACTAATAAAAATGACAAAAACACAAAAAAATAGCTGAAACTAAAAAAATTTAATAAAAATAAAAACTAATTCAAAATATTGATATATACTACATAAATAATTCCAAAACACACACACACACACACATACAACACTATTGTACAATCTCACAGCCACATATTAACATACATGATAACGCTTGAAATCATTAGTTTGTGTAAACAGTGCAACGCCCACAAAGCTGACTGAATAAAAGACAGATGGAGACATTACATGAGGAGAGACATTAATTTACCAATTAAGGCGTTTTTCAGACACGATGGAGAGCGAGAAATTCCTACACTGATGTTCACAGACCACATCCTACTCATAATATTTGTACATGGACACCTTTCTTCCTCTGACAGCATTTTTCCTTCGGTTTCTCACCATGTGGGCGACTGCTTTCGCAAACTGAAGAAACATTTTCAAGCATTATAAATATTCAAGGAACCGGACAACACAATTAAAATGCGATTAAGACTGAGATGGCATTACATGCTACTTATGCTATCACTGACTGAACATTGGAAAAGGTCTTAACCTTAAATATTACACAAATGCGAACGAACCCATTAAGCAAAAATAGTATCAATTTGATGGATTTCCACTTAGCCAGTGTACAATTGGACATTTTAAGCTAAACACACAAAGTAAGGCAGAAACATACTTTACACAAGTACACAAACACTTAACCTTCAGTACTCTAGGGGGCAATAAAGTTCATCTGTGTCATTCAATCCCATGTGTTGTTATTCAGGTAACTAAATAAAAACATGTCCACGTTAACTAACTTGCGCAACAAGATACTCATCAAGTACTACAAGCACTTAAACTTTATTAGTTATAACTTGATTATTTACACAATGGCAAGAATTAAAGCGTTAAAATTAGCTTAACTTACTTAACCTGAAGTGCATTTTGAAACATTGAAATTAACTTAACAAACAGGGTTGAATGTTTTAGAGCGCAACAAACCAATTAAGAGCAGAAAACATTCCAGTAAACCATCACTCATACTCACAGATGTTTGTGCTGGTGCTTTCCCTCCAAAATGTTGTCACTTCCTGGAGGATGATGTCATTAGGGAAGTGGCTGTTATTAGTTAAAAGGATTTTAGATGTCCAACTTTCAACTGTGTTTTGAAAATGTTTTATTTCACTTATTACACAACTTTTCATGAGGAATATTTATTAATTAATCTGCTATTTCTATTAACTAAATAAATTTTGTATATGTCATTAGGGAAGTGGCTGTTATTAGTTAAAAGGATTTTAGATGTCCAACTTTCAACTGTGTTTTGAAAATGTTTTATTTCACTTATGACACAACTTTTCATGAGGAATATTTATTAATTAATCTGCTATTTCTATTAACTAAATACATTTTGTATACATAAATATAAATATGGGGGAAACAAGCCTTTTAATTTTAAAGATGGAAGTTCAACAATACCAAAAAAAAAAAGTTTGAAAAATAGAAAAGCTGTCAAATGTATTCATATTTCTAAAAATGTAAATGTTTTTGTTTAACTGTTTTTCTGTCATTTATTTATTTATTGGTGATTTGTAAATGTATAAATAAATATATAAGAAATAATAATTTTAACCACCTTGATTAGAGAAAGAAAAACACTTTAATAAATATCAATGAAATAAATATGATACATAGAAATAAATATGAAATTAAATCATTTATCTGTAAAATGTAGTGAAATTATTTAATTAACTGTGACATTGTGATATAATAAAATATAATTTATATCCAATATCTTTAAAATATTAGATTTAATAAAACCATAAAAATTATATTTTTAAATAATTAAAATAAAAATACAAAAAAATTGTTGTGCAATTTATAAAATAATTTTAACATTTAAAAATATGACTGTAATACTTTATCAAATATATTAAAACATATGATGCACAAGAAAAATTAATTGCCTAACATAAATTAATTAATATCATCAATAAATCAACCAATCAATCAATCAAATCTGGTACTCTGCTGGTTAGTAGTGTTCACACCGATAATTTGCGACAGTTTATCTCCTCATTAGCAAGCAGATAACAGTTCCAGCTTGTTTCCAGTAACTTGCACTCTGCATCCATTAAGTTTGTTTTATATCCAGGGATAAATACGCTGTGAGTGAACTGGGGCAATTTGATATCTTATACGACTGGAAAACAGTCCCAGTTCAGATCCAGAATGGTAGATCATAGATGACTCATGAAGAAATTCAGGAACAAATATGAAAACAGGCATAATTCAATGAACAGTAAAACATCTTTGCAAGCTTTCTGGACACCAGTGCCAGGAAGACAGGCACTGTGGAGCTGTTAGTGTAAAGATGACATCGATCAACCAATTCAGGCTTACTTTAATGAAATCGAAACATCATAAAGACATACAGTACATTAAGCAATAAAGTTTTCAAAAACTTGCATACAGAGACAACAGGGCCCTAAACTTCACGTATCAAAACAGCATGTACATTCTTGACGGCTGATGTCTGTCTCTTCGACTCCTGAGTGTGAGCTGTGTACGGCAGCACTGTGCGAATCTCTGGTAATGAAACGTTCAGCGTCTGCGGGCCAGCATTCATTCCAAGGTGAGTCTCTTACCATTGCTAACAGCGCCTTCTAGTGGTCAAAATCTCAGAGGTGAGCTAAATCCAGCAGCAAGACCCACACAGACACTCAGGCTTGTACAGCTGCGTAAAACAAGAGACAGCATGTATGAAAAGCACAGAACAATCAAAAGAAAATGAAATATCGAGTGCAGTTCTTTAAACTTGCTATCGCACATCTGACAAAGCAATTGTAAAGCAAAACAGAGCAACTCATTGATGAACTTTACATATGGGACATGTGCAAATGCCATTTTGGAGCACTCTATAAGGCAAATCAGGGACATGTAAACAGCAGAGGGCCACTTGGACACTGAGCGAACGGCATGATTAAACAATCGTGTCTGTTAAATCTCATCCAAATTGTGGCTTCAGCAGTTCAAAGTTCAGAACAGGTGGGTGTAGATTGCTTATTCTTAAACTACCACTGACCACTATAATTAAAGCTCAAACGAGACTTGGCAACTCGAGGAAAACCTCTCTGCATGAGAGAAAAGAGATTTTAAGCATTTACCACAGTATTCACCACACACCTCATCTGGTTTTAAGTGTGCACTGCAGTGATATAGACTTCATAGATGCAGTCAGTATATTGCTGCATATGTTGCTCAAACGATTCTATAAGAGTTCTGTAACAAGGGTTGAGCTGTAACATCATCAGTTTAACCATTTAGAAAGAAGTTGCATGGGTGAAATCACTTTAGATGATTGACACCCTTATGAGAAGATAGAAGAAATACATTAGCGCATCTGGCTTATAATTCGATTTGTGATCATGTTAATGAAGACTACATGACAGAAGTGGTATTATCTGAATCAGCAGCTTGTCTTGTTTATTTTGATATATTGCATTCAATATTCTAGCTCTAGTTGTGACATTTTCAAAACTATTCATAACTACTTTTATTGTAATTTCCAGTTTACTTAGCTGAAAATATGTCCTACATGTTCACTATTTTGAATGAAAAAACTTGAAAGGAGGATGCGGTGGAGACTGAGAGACGGCGTAATCATTATTTTGAAGAAGTACATTTGATTGCCCATGTTTTCTGTTAGTGCTACCGGTAAGTAGCAGATTTCAAAACTACTTTAATTTGTAGAAGACAAACATGGGAATATTATATCGAAGTTTGAAACACGCAGAGCAAAACAAAACACTCCCCATTCTCCACTACTCATACATGTTCCCTGCGCGCGTTAATATACGGGTGGTGCCTATCAGCAGAGCGATTCTAATCGTGCTCTTTTGTGTGTATCCTGCATGTATATGTGAGCAAGCGTCTTTATCATGTCACATCCCTGTTGCCATTTGACGCGTTTCGTCTTGAATCTGCTGGAAAGCCACTGAGCTTCGTGCACGAATCTGACGCTATACTGGCCACAAAGTGCACGAAAGATCTCAGAGGAGCATATCTTCGATTTTGCATGGATTTGTAAAGGCAAGCACTGCTGTGAAGTTGATCAGTCTGCTCAGAAAACTTCCAGAGGGGAAAGTGTTTTGGACTCGGAAAGTCCAGAATTTCAGTGCGCAACCAATTGCGCACAAACTGGACTATTGGAGAATACCCAAGTGAATCATTTTTTTATATGTATATGTTTATATAAAAATCCACCGGATTCTTCTTCATCATCTATTTTTCATCAAAGACTGTTTTTATTTTCTCATTTTTAAGACACTCCAACCTGTGCTTTCACTTTGCATGCGGAGGTTTCACTCGAATCTGAGCCAAACGTTCATGCGCTCTCATATCTAGTTCTTGCCTCTTTTTCTTTCTTTTTTTATAATTATTATTATTATTATTATTATTATTTAAACCGGACCTCATTCACTTTGAAACGAAGTATGGCTCTTCTTGTGCTGGGTACATTTCTCACGGCGTTGTCCATCAGCGGAGGCTCTTATGTGCCTTGCGAGCCGTGCGATCAGAAGGCGCTCTCCATGTGTCCTCCGGTCCCGGTGGGCTGTCAGCTGGTGAAGGAGCCCGGCTGCGGCTGCTGCTTGACTTGCGCTCTGGCGGAGGGGCAGGCGTGCGGGGTGTACACCGGTACATGCACCCACGGGCTGCGCTGCCTGCCGCGCAACGGCGAGGAGAAGCCGCTTCACGCCCTGCTGCACGGCAAGGGAGTGTGTACGAACGAGAAGGGATACAAACCACCGCACCCACCCATTGGTAAGTTGACTGGAAAGCAGTGCGCATTTATTGCACGAAAGCATTGTTGCGTTGAGCTCGTGTATCTGGTGGGAACTTTGTGGCTTGCGCTGATCCAGTTTTATGGCGTGCGCATGTTTCTGCATGAGCTTTTCTGTGTTGTGGCCGGGCTGCGCTGCTCAATGCTGTTTTCCATCATATTCCAGCGCTGTAGATTATTAGGATTAGTGAAGCCTGTTTATGTTTCATCATAAGCCAATTATTAGCAAACGGTTTCCATCTTCATGCTGCAAAGGCACTTACAAAAAGTACCGTGGTGGTACCGCGTTTTCTGGAAATGTACCATGGTATTTTTGGACGCAGTATAATGTAAATACCATTCCAATACTATTGTATCATTATCAGACTTTAATACTAAAATAATTAATATTAAAATCCTTTAATATTTGAACATTCTAAAAAAAAAAAAGAATATTTGTATTTTATTCAAAACCATTTGGCGTTTTTGACATGGTGTCATTGGGACTACCATTGTATTTTGGACATATACCATATTACTACCATGTGTTTTGCCATTTACCATAGTAGTATCATAGCATTGTTTTGGAAGTCCCTGGAGTACCATATAAATACCTTGGCTGGAGTCCCATATAATGCCATCACTATGCCAAGTCACACCCCCACTGTACTTTTTTAAGGGGTATATCAATGTACCATGGTATTGCCATCTGATACCATCACTGTACATTTTTTATTGTACTGAAGCTGCATCTAAAGTATCATATAATGCATTTAAACAAAAATTATGTGCAATGGAATGTACGAAAATGTCTGATTGTGAATAAAAATATTAACCCATAAATATATGCTCTGTAATGGCCAAGTTTAAGGCTGCTCTGATGCTGCATTTCATTGGCACAGAAGCAAAGCAGCATCAGACTCAGCAGAACTGCATCATTTAGTATTCTCCTCAGAACTGAGTAAAGACGCCTCAAGATGCATAGCTCCATACAGCCTTGCTTTGTGTTTCGTTATTGTTTGATTTGGCAATGGCATTTGTTTGGTGCTCTATTGATGTTAGTGACTCCTTCATTGTTATGATCACACCTCTCATCATTGTACGGTGTACCCACGGCCTCATTATATTCTTGATTGAGATTCTAGGTTCCTCTGAATTTAGGTCTAAATCTGTGGGTGGTGTTGAGGGTCGGATTACCGCTCAAAGATTAAATCCAAGGGGAGGAGGGTAGTCACAGTGTGTCTACAAGCCAACCTATGTGCAAAAATCATA